CAGAAGCTTCCTGTTACCAGTTATCTGGGCATGTCTTGGGCCCTCAAGTTGATACATAAAATTAACCATTACATCAGCCCACTTAATAAAATGATTATAACTACATCATTGCTCATTTACCAATGAGTTGTCTGTCTCTGCCCAACTCCATGAGAACAGAGGCTTTCATCTGTTTAGCTCACTGCTGAATTTCCAGAGCCTAGAACAGTGCCTGGCACATAGTAGGTATCCCATAAATACTTGTGGAATGAGTGGATGAATGAAGGAATGAACGAATGCAGGGTTCCTTTTTTGTTAACACTTATGAGTGGATCCCAGGGTTTACTTGACTGACACAAAGCCTGACAGATATTATGCTCTCAATAGGCATTTAACAGAAAGAAAAAAGGGGGAGCAGGGAAGAAGGAAGGAAGAGAGGGAGGGGGAGGAGGAAGGTGCGGAGGAAGAAGGAAGGAAGGATCAAGATAACCAGAATTCAAAGTCTGAGTAGCTTCCTGTATTTATGCCTTCCCTGAGCATTTTCTTATTTATTTGGAACTCGTTCACTTACTTTCCTCTCCCTCCCCCAATTTGGGGGATATATTAATTACTGTAATAGTGAAGAAAACAAACACATCAACAACTGCCATAATAATTAGCCGGAGCATGGTGACCACTTGCTGTATGAAAACTTCTGTGTATTCACGCAGTCTTCACGGCACCCCCGTGGAAGTAATTGAAGTTACTATTTTCATACCATAGGTGCGGAAACTGGGGTGCAGAGGGCCTCTAAGGTCACCCAGCTGGTAAGTAGCAAAGCCAGGATTTAAACAAGCTGGTTTGTCTGCAAAGTCCAAGTTCTTTGTCATGTCCATCATAAACTAAAGAGCTTCATTCACTTGGGTCTCTGCTCTACGTCACCCCAGTGGAAAGAGACACATTTCCTGAGCGTCTTCTGTGAGTAGATCTCTCCCATCCCCACTCATGTCCTGTTTATTGTTTCCTCTTTCCTGGAACTCTGGACTCTACTTGCTTGTTCAGTTGCTTATCTTTTGTCTTCCCTGCATGAGGAACATCAGTGGCATCAACAGAAGACTGTGCCCTTTTTGCTTATGCCCTGGAACACAATAGGCACTCAATAAATGCATGGGGAACAAATGAGCCAGCGCAGTGAGGCATAGCTGACAGCATACCATAGGTCATTCTATTTATCAAGAACCCACTATGTGCTAGACACGGTACCAAGCACACGGCAATCTCTCCTGGAATCCCTACAAACATGCTGCTAGACTAGGGTGACCAGATTTTAACATCAATAAGGAGGGACAGCATGGGGGGGGAGGGGGCGAGGGCGGGGCCTGACAACAATGTAAACTTTGATAAGCAGTTCTCAATAATCACTTCTCAGCAATTATTTGTTATTATTACAGTTTAACATTATAAAATTAACAAAAATAATATAAAACTCATATTCTGGCAAAATAGCCACATGGCAGCCAAAAACCGTATATTCCCTTCCTGTTCTCCCACCCGTTCATGCATTCTTTCCAAAAATCAAGACTTTTTTAAAATGCCACGGGACACGGGACATACTGTTAAAAGTGGGACGTCTGGTCACCCTATGCTAGACTGGTGATTCTCCCAGAGTCTAAGCCACAAGGAACATGTGGTGAGTCCATTAGCCTCTTCTCTCAGGAGAGGCTGGTCAGGAGGCCTTCCTGGAGGTGGCGGCATCACTGCCTCTCCCTGCTTCCCTCCCACCTCTCTGGCTGCTCCTTCATGGACTCTTCCTCCGCTTGCCCTGTTCATGCCTGTGCTGCTTTGTGTCTGGCTAGAGCAGAGCTGAAAAGTAGCCAGCTCCAACCCACGGGCAGGTTTTATTTGGCCCACACAGCATTTTTTTTTTAATTTGAATTAGTTTTAACATTTAAAAGCTAAGGGATTTGCTTTTAAAAATATCCAGATTTCTGCCTTCTCTTAGAAATAGAGAACATCTGGCAACGCTGGGCCCTCTTCCCACATGGCAAGCATTGGCTGAAACTAAACAGCAACAGCCACGTGCTCTGAGCCACTCTTACCAGGGCGTACTCGTGTGTCCCGAGCCCTAAATTAGCACCTGTGGAGCCTGGGCTGGATTTGGAATGACATTTGACCAAGGACTGTAGAAATATCTGAGACTACCTGAGAATAATCCAAGAGAAACCTACCCAGGGAACAATGGCAGGAAAAGGTCAGGTCAAAAGATTTCTACCAGACAGCACTGCAGATATCCCAGGCTGTAGGATGGGCACCTTGGCTAACGTGAGCTAAAGCAATTCTCTAAAGAGGCTTGCCTGCTGGGACCCAAACTATGTGCAAGACAGAGTCGGAAGCAAAAGAAAGAGCCAGAACGAACAGAGAGAGAAAAAAGGAGTGTGAGAGAGACAGACTGAAACAAGAGAGCCAGAGTGAAGAACAGAGTAAAAAGGAGATTCAATCAATTCAAATGATTTTGCTTAGGGGAATGAAGGGAAGGGATGTGTGTGTTTGTGTGTGTTTATACATGCATGCATGCTGAGGGCAGGGGCGCAAAAACAAAGCATTGCACTCCCAGGGAACCTGAGGCAATCTAGCAATAGTTACTCTCTAACACCAGCCCACACTGTTCTCTGGAATTTGAGATTAGTGTTTCTCAGGTTGCAGGTCATGGTCCATTAGCCAGTCATGAAACAATTTAGAAAGTTGTTACCTGATTTTAACTGATACAATATAATTTAACAGAGAATAGAAAATATGCAAGGGCCTTGAACAAGTGGTCAGAAAGTTTTTACTCTGTGTGTCAATGTCTGTGTGTGTGTGTGTGTGTGTGTGTGATCACGACGTAAAATGTGTTTCTCACTGTGGGCTGTGTCCTTACAAGGTGGAAGTCCACCACTCTTAAATATGACCCATGTGGACAAGGTGGATGCAGGGCCAAGAGGGGGTGGGCACAAATGAATGACTGAGAGGATTCGACTTGATTCCATAGGCAACGGGGAGTCACTGAGGCCTTCTGAGTTGCAGAGTCACCACGAGCACATCAGTGTCCCCATTCTGATATACACTTGCCCAATGGTGCACATCATGCTATCAGAATTCTTCTCCCCATTCGCACGTCCTGCTGATTCCACAAACACTGGCTTTGGATATGATGTGGGATATCTTACAAACTAGAACTTTTAGGACAGACTAATCTCACCCCTTCCCCTTCATTTTACAGCTAAGGAAAGAAAGACACAAAGATGGGTATCACTTAGTATACCTTTGGCTGCTCATCTTAGAATCCTCATCTCCAAGCCTCATGCAGACCAACTTGGGGGTGTCAAGAATGTGACTCCAGAACTGGAAGCAGCTGGAGAAGAAGACCTGGGGTAGTGACGACGTGAGTGATAATGTGTGTGCTGGTCCTGGTCCTGGTCACAGGAGCAGCTAGCCTCCCTTGTCTCCATCATCATTATCAGTGCTGTCACCAATATCGCCACCTCCCTCCTCATTCTCCCCACTATCACCACTAGCATAATCAATCACCATCACCACCACCACCATTAACTTTTTCCCTAGACCTTTATTACCAATCTGGGGCAAAATTTTCTTTCTGTTTTTCATTTCAGTCCCCCTAAGGGAAGCGAGGTGCAGGGACTTCAGGTGGTACAGTCTATCTTTGACCTACAACAAGACAGGGCTTCCCAGGCTGCATTCTTGAGTACCTTACTTGAGCTCCAACAGTAATGACCTAGGTAATGACATGGAGGTGGGGGACAAGTCCCCTCTCAAAGTCTCCATTCCCCATCTACTAGTGTGGCGTCAGTGGGTTTCTATGAGGCTCCACATAGGTGACTGCTGGAAAGACACCTGTAATGGGGAAAGCCCCAAGGACAGGGTCCTTCATCACTTTGGAGGAGTGTCCAAACACGTGACGGACGGCCCTATAAAGATGGGAGGGGTCCCTGCGTAGGTAATCGAGGCCCTTATACAGGTGGAAGGGGTCCTTGTGCAGATGTGAGGGGTCTTTACACGGGTACGCTATCTTTTAATATGTTCTGGAGTTTTTCTACACATACAGGAAGGTTTGTCTATCGACACCATGTCCTTACATAGGCTATGGGGGGAAAACTGGGAGGAGGATTACCCAAATGGAGGCATCTCTTATAGGTGAGAGCACTTTTACACACAAAAGTGAAGAATTTTTATTCATAAAACTAACTGGCTGCCCTTTGTAAAACGCTATGCAAATCAAGCGGCCTTTACAAGGACATTGGGCTCCTCATAAAGATATGGGGATTATTACATCATGTTTTAGGGTGATATAACAGCACGAGGGGCCATACGTGCCTAAGAGGGCTATTTTCAAGTCGCTGTCCAGCTCAGCTCTCTCCAGACCCCTGACGCAGCAGCACCGTACTTTCAGCCGGCAGCAGGTAGGAGCCAGGGACTAGAGCGAGTCGGGGGGCAGCGGAGTGCCGGGAGCCGGTGCGGGCGTCCGCAGTCCCCACTGCGGCCACCAGGGGCAGCACCATCCCCGCCCGGCCCGCGCCTCCCCCCAATCTCCGCCCCCCACCCCCTCCCTCCCCCCGCTGCCGCTCCCCTGAGCCCCGCCAGACCCCGCTCCGCCCGCGCCCCGCTCGACTCCGGAGGCTTCCGCAGCCCCGGCGTCGGCCCCGCTGCCCCCTCCCAGGGGGCCATGGGGGCACCCCCAGGCTACCGGCCCTCGGCTTGGGTACATCTCCTCCACCAGCTGCCTCGCGCCGACTTCCAGCTTCGCCCGGTGCCTAGCGGTTTCGCGCCCCAAGAGCAAGAATACCAGCAGGTGGGGAAGGGCGCCGGGTCCCGAGGGGCAGGGGCAGGTCAGGGGGCCAGAGCTTGGAGGGTCCCAAGGAAGGAAAGGTCTGGATCTCGGATTCTTGTGTTCTCCAGGGCTGCGGGTCGGGCCGGGACTTTGGGGTATCTGAGGGAGGAGGAGCCTAGGGCACCCACACCTGGAGGTTCTGCTGGTATGGGCGCCGGGAGTCCGGAGCCTCAGCTCTTTAAATAAGGAAGGGCCCTGAACCCCTGAGTTACAGAATAGGAGACTGGGTCCCCTGGATTCCCAGGTCCCTGAGGTCTGCCCCGGGAAGCCAGTCTCCAGGGTCATCAGGAGGGTAGGTCCATTCTCCCTGTCCTAAAAGATATCTGCCACCCATGGAATACGAGCTGGTAAACGTGTCCCATTGAAGGTGGGGCCCGGGAGGCACAGGAACTGATAATGGTGGAGAGGGAAAACCCGGGGTTTTGGGATGGGATTGAGATTTTGAAATGGGGAAGGGGGGGAATGGGGATAAGGCCAGCCAGGGCTGGGAAGTCGAGGTGGTGCTGGAAGAGGAAGCATCCAGAATATCCAGTCCCAGGACAGAAATGGGGGGGGGCGTGTTGGAGGGTTGGGGGCAAAGGGACACTGGGCTTGGGGAACCGCCTGAACGACAGACATGGGTCCCGGAGGGTGGGGCCAGTGTGGGAACCTCACAGAAGCCAGGGCCCCTGGGGAAGGGGCCCAGCTTGGTGCAGCTCCAATGGGGCGAGACAACTGTCCCCTGACCCAGTTTAATTCGAGCCCTTGACTGAGATTAATGAGGAGAAAGGCTTGGCTGAGCGGGGGAGTGGGTTGGGGCGCTGGGCGTCCTGACGCACCCCAGGAAGGGTCCTGGGCCCTGCGTGGGGAGGACTTGAGCCCCTCTGATCTGTCCTGGGTGGCTGGCGGGTACTGGGTCCCGGGATTGGAGAGCTTAGGAGTGGGGGGGTCCCAGCAAAGCGGGGAGGGGGATGTGCGCTGCGTTCTGAGCTATTTGGGTCATGGCTGGCACAGCCGTGAGCAGCTCCTCCCCGCCTACTCCACGCCACCCCCTCTCACCGCCAAACGGGGACCGCCGTCCCCTCGCCCACAGCCTTGCAGTTACACAATCACAACTTCAACGCTGTCCCACCCACTCTGGTCTTGGCCGGGACTCACACCTGCTCAGGGTCACTGAGATCTCCCCAGACGCTGAGAGGTCCGCTCCAGCCGGCTATGGGCAGTCAGGTTCACAGCACAGGTCTCCCACAGTAGCACACCCGAGCAGGACATTCCCATCCACAGAGATGGCCACCAAGGGCACAGCTGGTGACAGCCCAGGAACTCTAGGAAGGGATCTGCAGGGAGGGACACACACATACTAACTCATATGCACACTCATACACTCACACGTACACACTCATGCACATACTCCCACTTATTCCTGTATGCACACTCACACACACATATATGCTCACACACACTCACACTTGGGTGCTCATACTGAGTCACTCAATGCACACATCCACACATACTCTCACCTGTGCATACCACACATATACATGTTCACACACATGCACATATATACTGACTCACACTCAACACACACATACTCACATACATACTCACACATTATACATGCCCACATCCTCACGAGAAAACTTATACTGACTCACACTCAACACATACTCACAAAGTCACCTGTCCACACTCACACGCTATCCGTGCCCACATATTCACATGTGCATGCTTATAATGACTCACTCAACACACATGTCCACACATATTCACTCACACACATGCTCACACTCACACATTCTCATACATGCACACATGTTGACTAACACTCATTCACACACACTCACCTACACATATATCCACAACTCACATATACACATATCACATTGTCATGTGCTCACACACATTGTCACTCAGTCACTCACACACTTACACTCACACACATTGTCTCACACATGTACCCCAGACACCACTCACAGACATTCAAGGAACTGTACCGGAATATACAAATGCCAACAGATGTGCTCTCTCCTCTCACACTCACCCCCGCTCAGGTGTATCTTCATCTCATAACAGACAAATTCAGTCAAAGGTAAAATATCCAGTCTCATGCCAGAAATGCAAAGCCACACCAGTGACACACACTACTATGAGAACAAAGGCAGATATGCTGTGGTTCGGGGGAAACTGCCTTGGCATGTCCAGAGGTGTGGCTCTGATCCTGATGTCCCCACCTGCTGTGTGGCTCAAGACACATCCCTGCCCTGCTCTGGGCCTCAGCCACATGGGCACCCCTTATTCTGCAAGGCTTTTCCGACTCCAGATGCAGTTTCTCTGCCTGCCTCCATCCTCACAGGCTCTGGCTATCCTTTTCAGTCTCTCTCGCCTGCCTCACTTGTTTTCTGCATCACTCTCCTTTGATCTTTTTCTTTCCCTCTCTCTGTTCTCTCCGTCTCTGGTTTGATCCCTGTTGATCTCTGTTTTTTTCTGTCTGTCTCATCTCTGCTCCTCTCTGTCTTTATTTCTCCTTCCTTGTCTGTGTCCTTCTCCCTTCATGCTCTTCCACTCAGCATCCCATTCTGTCTTCACATGAGTGTGTATACACACACACACACACACACGCTACCAAAGAGTCCCCCACCCATCCCTGTGCAATGGGGTATGGAGCTCAGTGGCAGGGGAAAGAGTATGCAAAGAGTTGGGAGGACTAGCAGAGAACAGGGGGGAGGAGGCACATCCCCTGAGGCTGGCATAGGGCTCTGGGAACAGGCACCCTTGCCCACCCCCAATCCCATACTCTTCCAGGGGAGCCTCAGCAGGTTTTGGGAAGATGTTCCATTCAGACTGCTGGTAGCAATGAAGAGAAAACTGAGGCTCAGAGAGGGGGAGGCCCCTGCTGAAGGTCACAGAGCCATCGAGGGGGCAGAACAGAACTAGAACCCAAGGCTCAGGGCCCCTCAGTTGGAAAGTCCTGCAGCAACCTGTCTTTAAATCCCAAAGCCCAGCTTCCAGCTTGGGAAGGGCTGGGAACCCAGTCTTCCTTCACAATTGGCTAGGGGTGTTTTTCATGCCTACTGTGACATCCTGGACCCAGAACCCCCAGCCGCACACACAAGAAGGGAGCTCTGAGTCTTGAACACACCAGTCCCCTCTGAGACTTAATATCACCCCTCCTCCCAGGCCCTGTTGCTGGTGGCGGCCTTGGCAGGCCTGGGCTTGGGCCTTAGCCTCATTTTCATCGCTGTCTACCTCATCCGCTTCTGCTGTTGCCGGCCCCCAGAGCCCCCAGGGTCCAAGAGCCCCTCGCCTGGGGGAGGCTGTGTCACTTGGAGCTGCATTGCTGCCCTTCTCGTCGGCTGGTAATGGGGCCCCAGGGTGGGTGGGCAGTGAGGATGGGGCTCCCCAAGCTCTCTATCAGCCTTCCTGATGGTGTCCTGACACGTGGGAGAAACAGATGGGAAGGACACTCAACATTATTTTACAATCCCACTGCTGCCTCACAACTGGGAGAATTGTTCCCATTTACTTGATGGAGGAACTGAGGTTCCAGTCAGGAAATCACTTTCCCCAAGACAGCCAGCCTAGCAAGAAGAGTTAGGGGATAAGATCTTGCTTGGTTTGGGTGGCTATCCTATAGAATAGCTATACAACCTAAAGGATTGATAGAATCTCTCTAGGCCTCAGTTTTCATACCTGTATAATGGGTGTTAGGGCACCACCTACATCCTAGTTATGGTCATTCTAAATGGGAGATAGCACAGTGTGTGCATGGCAGTTGTCCTCAGTAAGTGCTAACTAGCCATGTCGTTTACCATTCACGGAGCAACTCCTTATTGCCAGATGCTGAGCCAGATGAAGCACTCCTCACGTGGCTGCACTCCAACCAGGGAGGCAGACAGCAGACAGGCACTCACAATCCAAGGGCCCCATTCCCATCCACACCCAAGCCTGAGCTGGTCTAACTCCTTCTCCCAGGAGTGCTGCTCCATTCAGGGTTGTTGCGCCCAGAGTAAAGAGGAGGGCTCCAGGAGGAGCTGGAGGGCAACTTTTCAAGGCTGTGTGTCTTCAGGTCCCATATTAGTGGGAGCTCAGGGGTGCTTCTAAGGTAAACACTCCATTTCCCAAGAGCCAGTTCTGAGCACAGCCCCTTTCCTGGGAGGGTAGCACCCACCAGGTCATGGACAGCTGTCCTATTCCACAGATTAGGGGACTGAGGACTCCAGAAGGTCAGAGAACTGCTCTGAACCTATAGCTGGCAGGGGGAGGGACCTGTGTGGGGAACAACAGCTGCCAGTTGGAGGGAACTGTGTGGTTGTCTCCTACAGACACCTGAGCTCATCACCCCAGGCCTGGGCTCACTGTAGGGAGCAGTGTTTGTGTTCAGGGGGTGTCCTGAGAGGGCTGGGTACCCTATACCCAAGATGCTTCCTCATTAGGCCCTCAGAGTGGGGGTTGGACAAGGGAGGTGGACAAAGGCCCAGTGGGGGAGAGACATGGTCCCAGCCCCCGCACTCTGGGAACAAGAGGAGCTTTGTAAGACTCTGGACAATTGGGCGGGGGCAATGGGTATCAGATCCCAGGGCTGGGGGTGGAGGCCTGCATAGCGGGGCTGGGAACCGTGAGGGCGTCCAACTCCCGCCTCCTCCACTGGGGGATGCGGTGCAGGGAGGGGAATTGGGGCCCACATTCAGGCCCCACAATGGAGCTTTGTGTGTTGGCAGGGCGGGGGCAGGGCAGGGGTTGGGGGAGCAGCTTCTGGCCCATCCTCCAGCCCTCCCTCGCCCATTCCCTTGATCCCCTCCCAGCTGGCCAGACCCTTGGGTCCTGGGATGGGTGGGGGAGGGCTGAAAACTCCAGTCTTAGTGACCCCCAGGAGATGGTAGCAGCTGGGGGTGCTTTCACTCTTAGGAAACTCTGGAGGTGGGATACAGATGCCTGGGCTCTGGAGGGAGCATGCTGAGGGCTCTAAGGATTCCTAGGACAGGTGGCAAGAATGGAGGCTTGGCAAAGGATGCAGGGAATAGGTCTGGGGCAGGCAGAGGATGACCTCCCATCCTGGGCTAGGCAAGGCTAGAGTTCTGCTCTTGGGATATGCAAATTAAATCTGGGGCTCCCTCCCCTCTGCCACTCCACCCACCATTAGCATCACAATGACGTCTCTGGCTGGGGGAGTGAGGCCTTCCCGTTACCTTGGCAACTGATGGATGGGGGCCAGGCTGAAGTCGCTATTTTCCCACGGCAGGATGGACCAATGGCATGAGGGCTGCAGATGGGATGGGTGAATAAGGAGGTGGAGCAGAGGGGATGGGGCAGGACTAGGGAGGAAGGTGGCCCCCAGGGTCCCAGGACCCACTGAGATTTCCCCTCCTTCTTTTCTCAGCGCCAGCATTGGCATAGGTTTCTATGGTAACAGCGAGACCAGTGATGGGGTGTCCCAGCTCAGCTCAGCCCTGCTGCATGCCAACCACACACTCAGCGCCATTGATCACCTGGTGAGGAGGCCAGTGGCCAATGGCCTTCAGACCCACACCTGCACTGGTTCCCCTTACAGGGACCTTGGAGCCATACTCCCACACTTGTTCCCCTTACATGATCTTGGAGCCCTACACCCAGGGACAAAAGGATCCAAGCCTGAGCCCAGGCCTGAAACTTAAGACCCCAGACTTAGAACTTCATACTCAAAGCTGCAGACCTCAGCCTGCATGCTCAACCGCTGACATTGGTTGCAAATTGAGGACCTCATGCATTGGTCTCTTGAACCAGATGTGGAATTTAAGGCCCAATCCCAAAACCCAGACTTACACTCAGGCCCAGGCCCAGACTTTAAATGGCAGCCCAAGCCAAATAGAGAACAAATCCAGGGACCCCAGCCCCTCCCCTGAGAACAAATCCAGGGCCATAGACATGACCATTGGCCAAAATGAGAGGTTGGGGATCTCAGTTCTGAGACCCAGGACCCAGACTCAAGGACCAGCCCCAGGATTCTGGATCTTCAGGCTGAGATGTGGCCTGCCCTCAGATCTTGGATTTCATGTCCAGTTGCAGACCTTGGACCATGGAACCCAGGCTAGAGACCCCAGAGTCTAGAAGGCAGATGCAAACTTTAGATCTAAGACTCCTGACTTGATACCAGTCCTGGGCTGAACTCTATGCCAGGATCAAAAGCTCCTGAGACAGGGCACATAACTCCACTAACTGGACCACAGGGTCCCTCCCAAACCCCTTCTCTCAATCTCCAGACCCAGGTCCCAGACACCCACTACTGTGTACCCCAACTTCACCCCCAAGCCCCTGTCTGTCAACTCTGGGCTCCCCCCAAAAGTCCTCCCAGACCTCAAACTCTGCTCTGTTCCCAGGTGCTGGAGACAGTGGAGAGGCTGGGCGAGGCGGTGAGGACAGAGCTGACCACATTGGAGGAGGTGCTTGAGCAGCGCACAGAGCTGGTGGCAGCTGCTCGTGCAGCCCGGAGGCAGGCGGAGGCTGTGGCCCAGCAACTGCAGGGGCTGGCCTTCTGGCAAGGCGTGCCTCTGAGCCCCCTGCAGGTGGCCGAAGAGGTGTCTTTCGTGGAGGAGTACAGGTAAGAAGCTACCTTCCCACCCTGTGTGGCAGTGGTTCTCAGCCTGGGTTCCCAGAGGGATAATTGGCAATGCCTGGGGACATCTTTGTTTGTCACATGGGGAAATGGGTGATGTTACTGGCACCTAGGGGGCAGAGCCCACAGACACCACTCAGCATCCTACAATGCACAGGAGAGAGTGATCCAGCTCCAGTGTCGGCTGTGACAATGACATTGATAAACGCTGCTATGAGCCACGGATTGCATACCCATGTACTGACCTATTTGGCCACTTGCCTCTGCAATGGTAAATTCACTTGATCATTCATGCACTCATTCATTCCTTGACTTACATGCTCAGCAAGTCACTCTTGGACCCAGGCACTCCTGGCAACTCTCTCACTCACTTATCCATCTGTGTGGCACATGTATTCATTCAGCAAATATTTATTTAGTACCTGGTTAGAAAAGCCATGTATACACACCATTAGGAACCTGGGCTCTAAAACCAGACTTCCACTTTCTAACATTCAGGCCTTAAACAGGTGACTTTCTATCCCTGTGCCTCTGCCCATCTCTAAAATGGGAGCTGTGGTAGGGCTCCCCTGACTGGATTGTTGAGGATCAGATGAGTCAGTGTCCATTAAGCACTTAGACCAGCAACCAACCCCCAACGAGCGTAGTAGAGGGTCGATGTGTCAGGAATAGGGGACAGAGCCATGCACAAGAGGCAGTAATCCCTGTCCCTGTGGCTGGGCCCTTAGTGGAAGGAGTCAAACACATCCTCTACAAAGTGGTGGCCATGAGAGCTTCAGAAAATATTAAACAGGAGAGGGAGGGTACATGATTTGTGAGGCGGTCGGAGAGAGCCAGACTAAGAAGGTGGCACCTGAAGGAAAGGAATGAGCTTAGCAGCTGCCTGGGCCACAGCCTTTCCACTGGCCAACATGATAGTGCCCTCATCACTTTGTCCATTAGTAATTACTCCATTCACTCTGGAACCCTGGGCTGAAATGAGGAAACTTTGTCCCGAGGTCTGTGCTCCAGCCAGGGAGGCAGAGCCAGAGCTGAAACAGCCAAAATGAGGTCACACTGAGTGACAGCAGAAACAGACAAGCCTGCATATGAGGAAGTCCATGAGCTTGGTCTCAGCTCCCTTTTGGGGAGCAGATACGAGGAAATATCTTTTGAGTGCACCAACTCTAAAGTGCCTGCCACTTTGGACAGTCTTGCTGCAGCTGTTCACAAGCAGCAGTAGGACACCTGCCCTGGGGGAAGCAGTCAGGGGCCAGGGTCAGGAGTGAGTCTATGGCTCCATGGGGATTACAGAGAAAAGGTGCTGTTCAGTGAACACTTACTATGTGCAAGGCACAGTGCTGTGGCCTCCCCTGCATTCTCCTTATCAATTGCAATGAACCACTATTACTTAATAATTAGTTATTGAAGTACATCTACACTCCCTTACTAGTGCTCAAACATTAGAGAGTGTCCATGTGCCTGGCAATCTCCCAAGCCCTTTACCTATATTCATTCAACTCACAGCAACCATTCAAAGTCAGTGCTGTCACACACCCCATGTTACAGGTGGGGAAACTGAGGTATGGAAGGTTACAGTTACTGGGACAGAGTTACCTAACCGGTTTAGTGGAGGGGCTGGGGTTGAGATACAGGCAGGCTCTGCCTCCAGACAGACACCTTGGGTGGTACAGGTGAGACCCCTGTGCCCATGTGCACCTAGGGGGTGAGGGGCAGGGACTCAGAGAGGCCAAGTCATGTGTCCACACTCACAGACCTGTGTGTGGTCTGCCAGGGTACAGTCCCACGTGCTTGGGACCTGTATTCTAAACTGCTCCAATGTCCTGTCTCCTGACACACCCACATCACATGTGAGCCAGGCTGTGGCCCAGAGACATTAAACAGGCAGAACTGGGGATGAACACAGGGTGCTGCTTGGCCTGGACGCCTGAGGCTGGGTTTGCTGCATTATCCCCACCTTGTCCTCTCCCAGGTGGCTGGCCTACGTCCTCCTGCTGCTCCTGGAGCTCCTGGTCTGCCTCTTCACCCTCCTGGGCCTGGCAAAGCAGAGCAAGTGGCTGGTGATTGTGTGAGTCCAGGCAGTTCTGGGGGGCCCTTGCTAGACTTTTGCCCAGAGCTTCTCCGGTAGGCAGGATCTCATTCAACTTCTAGACTCTCTTCCACAAGGGCCACGGTCCTTCGTGGACTAGGCCCAGCCCTGTGCAAAGGGCTGGACAAATAGAAAGAGATGGGAAGAAGACCCCCAAACAGGCAGTCCTTGTAATGTGACACATGCTGAAGTCATGGGAAGAATAATAACCACGCTTGCAACAAAGATGAGCATGATTGCTGAGGCCTATAGAAAGGGCCGTGCACACTGACTTCTCAGTTGCCACAACAACTCCATGGGAGAGGTGCCATTAGGTTCTTGTCTGGCAGGTGATGGATGCAGGAAGAGGTGCCAAGTTCAAGGCTGATTGCCCTCAAGTGGCATGGCAGAGCCACAGGATCCTAATTTTTATTTACCAGTTCACTAAGTGTCAGACACTCTTCTGCACACTCCATGGAGCCCTCAGGCCCACCCTCCCTGCTTAACAGAGGGGGAAACTGAAGCTCAGAGAGGTTCAGCCACTTTCCAGGACTACCCAGCTAGGATTTCCTAGAGTTGGGATTCAAACTGGGCTTGCCTATCTCACCAGAAGAGCCCATGTATTCTCTCTGCCCTGGAGGAGGGGGCTGTGCTTGCCTTCATGGTCTCCCCCGGGGTGAGAGGTCCACCACCCCATCCAGGCCCCCACTGAGACTTGGCAGTAGAGGAGCATGGCTGTAGCAGGTCCTGTCTGGGAGTGGAGGCCAGGCCTTCTGCTCAGCCCCCTAGGAGTCCCTCCTATTCACCTACTACCAGTCTCAACCCCACCCCACCTCAAGAAAAGTCCAGAGTCTGATAGCCCTGAGGCTGTCTGGAGGCTGGCCCAACTGTGGATGCACCTGGGAACATGCAGGGCCCTGTGGTCCCCCGGAGTCCCAGCACACAGCAGGACAGAGAGGAGCTGGGATCCAGGCTGCAGACCTGTCTACCCAAGCTCTTCTCACTTCCCCCTGGCCCTCATCCCTCTGGGCAGGGGCTAGATGTTCAAGCTGATGTCAGCAAATGCCCACCTACCCTACCTCCAACTTCTCTGTGCCTAATTCTGATCCTCCAGGCCCTGGGGGCGGGGGGAGGGGGCGGGGAGCCTAGCATGGGGGTTAGGGTGTGGGAGCTGAGATGAGGTACAGATTAAGAACCCTGAGCCCAACCTCCTCCATCCACGACAGGATGACGGTGATGAGTCTCCTGGTTCTTGTCCTGAGCTGGGGCTCCATGGGTCTGGAGGCAGCTACAGCCGTGGTGAGTGCTGGGGATCCTGGCCCTGAAAACAGGAGGATACGGGAAATCTTAGATCCTGGGGTGGGGGTGGGGGTGGGGGTGTGGAGTCCAGTGTTCAAGTCCCAAGAGGAAGGAATTGGGGAACATAATCCCAGTCCGGGGGAGACCTGGGCCCATGAGTCTGAGCAGGAAAGAGGAGCTGGAACTCCTGGGCCTGAGGAGGGAGGAGGGCTGGGGATCTGGACCCATGGGTCTAGCACAGGAGGTGGGCTGGGGAGCCAGGCTCTGGGTGCTGTGGGCATGTGGAATTGGGGCAGTTTCAGGTCTGAACCCCTTTCCTGTTGCCTGACTCAGGGTCTCAGTGACTTCTGCTCCAATCCAGACACCTATGTTCTGAACCTGACCCAGGAGGAGACGGGGCTCAACTCAGGTGATTTTGGTGGGCGGACCTGGCCAGGTGGATATAGCCCCTGGTTTCCTGGGCCTCCCTCTGTGCCCAGTGCTGCAGGGGGTGGGGGTGCAGGTGCAGAGCCCTCTAGAAAGGTCCACTCAGCACCTCTCCTGAAAGGTGGGACAGATGACCAGATAAAGCTGCTGGAGCCAGCAAGAGAGAGGGTCAGGATAAGTGATGGGCTGGGCCTCAGGGATGGGAGAAAATGGAGGAGCACTGTAAGTTAGGGATTCCCAGGGAGAGTGTGGAGACCTGCACGTGCTCAGGCTGCGGCTGAAGTAGCCGGGATGAGGGACTGGTGGGATAAGGGTCCCCAAATGGCAGGTCTTGGGGCTCCAGGGAGGGCTCCTGAGCTGGGGAGGGCCCTGGAGTCCCAGGCTCACGGCCCCCTCCCCGCTCTCCCTCCCACTTCAGACATCCTGAGCTATTATTTTCTCTGCAACCAGGCCGTGTCCAACCCCTTTCAACAGGTTAGGGCTGTGGGCAAGGGTAATGGGTGTTGAGGGGATCAGGAACCCGGACTCTCAGGGGCGGGGGGCGGGTCTGGGGCCTCGACTTCTGGGTTCTGGGGAGGATGAAGGTGCCAGGGGCCCAGAGTTCTGAGTCCGGGGAGAGAAGAGGAGAACGGGCTGGGGGCGTCGGCTACTGGGTCCCCCTCCTTCCCCCTATCTTCTGCAGAGGTTGACTCTGTCCCAGAGAGCTCTGGCCAACATCCACTCCCAGCTGCAGGGCCTACAGCGAGAAGCTGTTCCACAGTTCCCTTCGGCGCAGGTCTGTGGGATAAGCTCCCCTAAAGGGAGAAGAGGGCGGGGCGGGGATGAGACCGGTGGGGTAGGGGGCCTCACAAAAAAGAAAAGGTTGACGGGAGTGTGGGCAGGGACTGAAGCACTGGGCGGGTCTGCCAGAGTGGGCGTGACCTGTGGTGTGGGCGGAGACTTAAAAGCTGAGCAGGTCGGCCAGAGTGGGCAGGCGGGGACTGCAGAGGGGGCGGAGCCCAGGCCCGGGACTGACCTGAGGAGTTGGTGGAATAACTACCTTCCCTCCCACCGCAGAAGTCTCTGTTATCTTTGGAGGAGACGCTGAATGTGACAGAAGGAAACCTCCACCAGTTGGTGGCGCTGCTGCACTGTCGCAGCCTGCACAAGGTAAACCCTGTCCCTTTCCCCAATTTCTGCCCCCAAAAGGAGTCTCTGCCTCGACCCAAAGAGCAACCTCCTTCTTGTGCTTGGACCCTTTCCATTGCCCCTGAGAAAATCGATCTACCTATCATCTATCTACGCCTCTGTCATGTAGGTATTATCTTTAGTCCTTTCCTCCCTTCCTCTGCCCTCACTGCATCACCCCTCCACTCCTCCTTCCCCATCTGCTTCTCCCACCCTGTCAGTCCTGGTCCCCTCTCCTCCTCCCTCCCTTCCTCCTAGAGGCTGGGAAACCTAGAGAGTTCTGAAGCAAGACTGCCTGGCTCCCAGCCCTACCTCTAGTCCAAGTCTTATAACTTCTCTAAGTCTTACAATACTGGGATTACAAGGACAGTGCCTGTGCAGTCCTCATGTGTTCTATCCACACAACAAACAGGCAGGGCCAGACAGGGCACGGAGAGCAAATATGTCTGGTGTCTTGCAGACTCACTCCACTTTGGGCTACACTGCAGGCCAGGTGGCCTCTAGCAGGTGGGCATAACTGAGTCTTGCTTTTCCTACCTGTACTATAAGGAAGAAAGGTACCTTCTTTAATGGATGGTTGTGAGGGTTGAAAGGAAAATCCCCCTTTGAAACAGTGGGACTTTGTTTTAAAACGCAGACCTGATGGTGCCTTCCCCTGGTCAGTCTTCCTATCATAACAACTGACATGAGGGACATACAGGCTTTACCATGTCAAGCTCTGTTGTGTTTTACAGGTGGTAATTCATTGACTCCTCATAAGAATGCTATGAAGAAGGAACTACCACTATTATCCCATTTAACAGACTTGAGATGAGGTGCAGAGAGTCAAGCAACCCTCTCCCAAGATCACACAGCCAGCCCAGCCCGTGCACACCAAGGGGTGGGGCCTTCTGCCCACAGCCAGGCAGTTGCCCAGTCTTGTCCCTTCTGCCTTTGGAATGTCTTCATCCATTTACCCCCTGCTGTGGCTCAGGCCTCCCTCTCCACTGGAGGAGGGTGCCATCCTATCTTCCAGTTTGCCCCCTAGGTACCCTAAGATAGGGTTGTCATACTTGGCAAACAGCAAATAACCCTTTACTATAAGTATATTCTGTGCAATGTTAAGGAGATACTTATACTAAACAGTTATGCTTTGGCTGTCTGAAGTCTGGGTTTACCTAGACTCAGAGGAGTCTTACATTTTATCTGGCATCCCTACCTCAGACAGATCCATCTACACCAGAGCTTGGGTCTGAACATTTCCTGCTCCTGCTCAGATCTCTGCTATGGCTTCTGAACATTTCCTGCTCCTGCTCAGATCTCTGCTATGGCTTCTGTTGCCCTTCAGGGTTCTGAAACCAGCATCCCACTAGGGGGTAGAGGCAGGCTTAAATCCACACTCAGAGCTGAGTATGCCAGCTGAGGAAGGTCAGGACTCCAGGGCACTCTGCTGTTTTGTACAAGGGTCACCAGGGGCCCACGCAGAGACTAGGCTGCAATACAGGCCCCCAGACTCCTTTGTGTGTGTGTGTGTGTGTGTGCGGTGGGGGCCAGATCAGTCTCTACCTTCCATTGAGTGATGCTCCATGTAACCCTGGGCTTCCATTTCCCCTATCTAGACCTGAGGGTCCCCACAATAAAACCAGGGACAGTAGATTTCAGGGATGCAGAGGAAGAAGGGTGGGCACTGGAACCTTTGAGAGTCAGCTCCAATCTCACCTCTACCCCTCCCAGGCTGTGTGACTCTGAGCAACTGGCTGTCCCTCTCTGGGCTTCTTCCCCCACTGCAAAAAGCAACAGTCTCACGGAGCTTAGTTTCTGCCCTGCAGGGCTGTGGTGGGGATGAAGGGAATTTTGTATGTGCCCGATGCTTTCTAAACAGAACTCCCCATGGCCCTGGTGGCCCCGCCCTCAGACATCCCTGGTCAGTAACAGGTACCCCAACCTCTCCAGGGTGCTCCATCCAGAAACTCAGGGACACCCTTCTGCTCCCTGGCCTGCCCTCCCACAGCCATCTCAACTGCAAGTTGTATGGCCCTTCCTCTGAATCTATCTGGACTCCAACCACTGTCCAGATCGCCAACACTGCTGCCTTGGTCCCTATGGTCCTCACTGCCCACCCGATGACCCCAGGAACCTCTTCCCTGTCCCCTCATGCCCTCCCCATCTGTCCTCCATGCACCAGCCAACAACCAGGTGATCCTTTTAGGACATAATCCGGTCAAGTTCTTTTGCTTAAAACCCTCCAGTGATTCCCCCAGCACACGGATTAAAATCCCAGCTCCTTGCCCTGACCTACAAGGCCTGTGTGGTCAGCTCTGGACGTGGCTGTCCCTGGCCTCAGCCCCACCCAGACTCCTCCTCACACCCCAGCACTGGCCCAGGGCCTGGCTGCTCCTGCCCTGGCAGCAGGGCCACCTGCCCCACACTTCTGCCCTTCACTGGCCCCAGGTCCTTCTTTCTCATCAGCACATCGTCCTCTGAAATGACCATTGTCAGTCCTGGTTACTGAAGTCTTCCATTTGGGGGACAATGCCTAGTGCACAGCAGGCTCTCAGTTACCCTTGCATTCAGCAGGGCGGCTCTGCTGATATACTCAGCACTCGTATCATGGATGGAGTACTGCGTGCTCAGTGTCACTCTCAGCCAGGGGGTCTTCTCAGTGCATCCTTCTGAGTCATCGATCTTACCCCCAGGGACATTCCAAGTGTCCTTCTGAGCCAGCAACCTACCCTCAGGGACATTAGCAATGTACAGAGACATCCTCGGTTGACAGGATTGTGGGAAGTGGTGCTCCTGGCACCTGGGAGGTAGAGCACAGGGATGCCACTCAATATACCCCACAGCACCCAGGACTGCCCCTCACTGCAGGGAACTATTAGGCTCAAAACATCAATGCCCAAGGTCGGAAACCCTGCACTAGACCAGGGCATAGATGACATGGTGACTAGGACTGTCACACCAATGACCTCACCCTATGCTCAGAATAGGGAGGCAACAGACGCACAGAAAGGTTGGGTGACTTGCTCAGTACCACACAGCCAGGTGGACAGTCCAACTCCTATTGTGCAGAGCAAGTGTGCGTGTGTGTGCTGGGTGGGGGCACTGCCCAACAATGCCCTCCATCCCCAGGACTATAGCACAGCCCTACGTGGCCTGTGCGAAGATGCCCTGGAGGGCCTACTCTTCCTGCTGCTCTTTTCCCTGCTGTCTGCGGGGGCCCTGGCCACCGCCCTCTGCAGCCTGCCCCGTGCCTGGGCCCTCTTCCCGCCCAGGTCAGGAGGGGAGAAATGGCAGGGCCCGGAGGGAGGGGAGAGGAGGGCAGCAACTGGGGACCACTGTTGGGGGGTACAGCCTCCTGATGGGTCCCCCATCCTGCCCCTCTGCCACACCCCTCATCGCACCCCAGTGACGACTATGACGACACAGATGATGATGACCCTTTCAACCCTCAGGTACTGGACCCCTGGGTCTGAGGGAAGAGGGGCTGGGAACCTGAACCTCTGGGTCTGAGGGAAAGGGGTTGGGGACCAGGAGCCCTGGGGCTGAGGGAGGAGGGACTAGGGACCTGGGTACCTAAGTCTGGAGGAAGGGCTGGGAGTCTGGACCCCTGGGTGTGAGGGAGGAGGGGCTGGGGACCAGGACCCCTAGGTGTGAGGGAGGAGGGGCTGGGGGCCTAGAATTCTGGATCTGAGAGAGGAAGGGCTAGGGGCCCTGACCTCTATGTCTGAGGGAGGAGGGACTAGGGACCTGGGTCCCTAAGTCTGGAGGAAGGGCTGGGAGTCTGGACCCCTGGGTGTGAGGGAGGAGGGGCTGGGGACCAGGACCCCTAGGTGTGAGGGAGGAGGGGCTGGGGGCCTAGAATTCTGGATCTGAGAGAGGAAGGGCTAGGGGCCCTGACCTCTATGTCTGAGGGAGGAGGGACTAGGGGGCTTGGGTCCCTATGTCTGAAGGAGGAAGGGCTGGGAGTCTGAACCCCTGGGTCTGAGGAAGGAGGGGCTGGTGGCCTGGACCCCTGTGTCTGAGGGAGGAGCTAGGGACAATGCCAGAACCCCATTGTATCCCCTCTTCTTACTGGAATCCTCTTGGCAGGAATCCAAGCGCTTTGTGCAGTGGCAGTCGTCTATCTGAGCCTCTCCTCCCAGCCACCCTGGAGCCTGCCTCCCCTCTCCGGTGAGCTCCAGAGAAACACCCCAGCACCCACAGCCTAGCCTCTGTCCTCCTCACCACACCCCAAGGTGCTCCAGGCATTAGGGTGTCAGTTGTAAGCTGCCTGCTAGGCATGCCACACCCCAGTGGCCCTCCAGCCTGCATCAGTGCTCTGTCTCTGCATCTCTCTGCAGTTCCTTCTCTGGCTGCCGGAGGAGACCCCACTAACTCAGCCTGACTGGGCTCTGATCACTAACACTGGCCATGGACACTTGCTCAAGACTGCCTCTCTGCCCTGGCCCTGTCTCTGTCCGTAGCCATGGGAGTAGCTGAGCAGGCAGACCAGAGACCAGGGCTGGCAGGGTAGCGGGCAGACAGATAGGCCCACAGCCCTTATCTCTGGCTGCCAGTCCCGTCCTTGGAGGGTCTGAGCTTGGGGCAGGGGACATGAGTCACCCCTGTTGCTCCTGCCATGTCCCAGTGGGCTCCAGGCCCCTGATCTCAACTTGTGGCACTAACGTGGAAAAGGGTTGATTTACAATAAAAGGGAAGACTTTATTTTACAAGCAGCTGGGTTCTCCTTATTTCTCTCATCCCCCAATCTGCCTCCTGTTTGGGGCTGGGAGGTCCCTTCACCTTGGACCTCTCTCACTAGGCCTCTGGACTACCCCAGCAATTCTGCTATCCAGGCTCAGTGGGGGTTCCAAAGAAATTGCTCTTAAAAAAATTTTTTTTCCCTGATTCTAAAATACATGTGTTCTAACACAGGAAGACACAGACATCTCTGGTACAGAATAGATGGCCCAGAAATAGATCTAAGAGAGAAAGAGAGAAAAAAATACTGTATGTGTATATATATGACAGAAGACAGATTTCAAGTCAGTGTGAAAAGGACTACTGGCTTAGCAGCAGTGCTGGCATATTGATTCTCCATCTGGCCAAAATCTTCCATAGACAAGATGGGTGAAAATTCTAAATCTAAAATTCTAAATGGGTGTAAATATAATTACAGGTTCAGAAGTATTTCAACAGAAATTAGGAGAACACGTGTGTATTGTACATTGAGATAGAGAAGGTGGTAAGGGAGGACTTTAAGAAGAGATCATCAAGCCAGAAAGGAAAGGATAAGTAACCTGACACATTGTGAAGTGAAAACAATACTGTGAAGTCCAATGGCAAATTCATTGTATGGGGAACAATGTGTATGTGTTTGTGTGTTAACAGATATGGCAAATAAATACATTAATCTGAACACCTAAATATAATCTACAAAAGCTTCCATAAACTAAGAAAAAGACAACTCAGTTCAAAAATAAGCAACAGGCCAGGCACAGTGGCTCATGTCTATAATCTTAGCACACTGGGAGGCCGAGGCAGGTGGATTGCCTGAGCTCAGGAGTTTAAGAACAGCCTGAGCAAAAGCAAGACCCCCATCTCTACTAAAAATAGGAAAAACTAGCCAGACAGGCGCCTGTAGTTCTAGCTACTTGGGAGGCTGTGGCAGGAAGATTACTTGAGCCCAAGAGTTTAAGTTCCTGTGAGCTATGACACCATAGCACTCTACCCAGGACGAGTGAGTGAGACTCTGTTTCAATAAATAAATAAATAAATAAATAAATAAGCATGCAACAGAGGGGACATTCAATGGTATGGAATTCCCAACACAGAAGAAAAAGACAATCTAATTCTAATAATTAGGAAATACAATTTGTTGACAACCAGAAACTTTTTTTTCGCCTGCCTATTATAAAATTAAAGATCTGTGATATCCCATGCTGGTAAGGATATGGAGGAATAAGCACACAAGCACAGTTTTCCTGAGACTGGGAAGCGCCACAAACCAGCCCTTGAAAAAAATAATCTATGAACAAATCACAACTGTATGCATCATCAACCTGACCATCCTGCTTTTGGGAATCAATTATGAAAGGAGAACCACAGGCATCTAAGGACTTATATTTACAGCTGTTTATTACCACAGTACTACTTTGGTCAGCTAAACCCCAGCAAATAAAAGTCCAAGATGGCTCGGCGCCTGTAGCTCAGTGGCTAGGGCACGGGCCACATACACTGGGGCTGGTGGGTTTGAAGTTGGCCTGGGCCTGTCAAACAATGACAACTACAACAGAAAAATTAGTGAGGTGGGGCAGCACCTGTGGCTCAGTGAGTAGGGAATCAGCCCCATATACCAAGGGTGGTGGGTTCGAGCCCAACCCCAGCCAAACTGCATTTAAAAAAAGAAAAAAACCCCAAAATAGCCAGGCATTGTGGTGGGGTCCTGTAATCCCAGCTACTTGGGAGGCTGAGACAAGAGAATCGCTTAAGCCCAAGAGTCTGAGGTTGCTGTGAGCTGTGATGCCATGGCACTCTACCTAGGGTGATATTGTGAGACGCTGTCTCAAAACAAAACAAAACAAACAAACAAACAAAAAAATCCCCCCAAAACCAAAAGTCCAAGATAAGAGAAGCCATATAATTTACACAGCTCAGCTCTCTAGAAGATATCAGCTCTCGGCTGCGTCTGGGAATTTAGGGAAGACCTGGCAGAAGAAATACTGCAGCTGAGTGAGACAAGGTGTGGCAGCAGAACAAACATAGAGGTGGCCACATGGTTAAGGAAACAACTTTGCACTTGGACAGCCCTGGGCCCCCATTCTGGTCCTGCTTCTCATGCCCCACTGGGTGTGGGAAAGTCATTTGATCTGTTGGACCTCAGTAGCCCCATCTATCAAATGGATATTATAACCCCCAAATTCCAAACTTCAAAGAGCTCTGAAGAGCACAGTAAGCCTTCCCCTAATTTATTGCACAGGAAAACCTGACCTGGCTTACTCTGAAATTACTTATGGCCTTTATTTTCCCAGCTTGGTGTGAATGTTCATGTATTTCCCTGCAGAAATATTACTTCAAAGTGCAGTGCAGGGCATTGAGAGTGTTATATGCCATGTGGAGTAGAGATAATATTGCCTTTTGAAATTCTGAAAAACCCTGAGTCCCAAAATGCATTTGGCCCAAAAGGGATTGGCTCAAGGTTTGTTGAGGCAGATGCCTGACCTTGCTCCATACTCATCAGTCAATTCTGTCTTGTACACTGTAACACATACTCAGAGGAGGCTTTGATGTCTGGGCCTGAGCCTGGGGAAAAGACATTGACTACAATTTCCAGGGAGGGCTACAAGACCACAAGCATTGACTCACTTTCTCACAGCCCCACAAGCTGTCTGTGCCTGGGGCTGGGCTTGCTGCTGTTCTGGCTTCCTCACTCCCACACACCGCCCTCTAGTGAGTCCATGTACAGAGGCAGAGGCACCTGCAAAGTACCCGGGAGATCCATGTTGCTTGACTGTCCGTGCTGTTTAAATGCCCATGCCCAACAGCCTGGTGGTGCTTTAAAGATCAGGAAGCTTTAACCAAAAAAGAGAAGAAGCAGAAGAAAGAAAAAGGACGAAGACATTTTGGTTAACCTTTGCAAAAGAAAAATCTGTTTTTTACTTTAAAAATGTTTCTATGGGGGCTTACACTTCTGACCAAGACCAAGTAACAGGAACTGGATTTGTTCTCCTTGCTGAAACAACCAAAAAACCCAAAACACACACACACACAAATAGCAGACCAAATACACAAAATGGTATTCACAACTCAGCAAAGTCCTCCCTGAGAGATGGAAAACATTGAAGTGAGCTCTAACATTGCCAGTTTCTGATGGTGAGTTTTCAAAGTATGGGGACAGGGAAGAAGTACCCTCTCAGTTCAGGAGACATAGCGAGAGTCTGGGGACACCAAATAAGCTAAGAACCAAAGGACAGAGTAGTGAAGAAGAAAGCTGTCAAGACAGAACTCTGGAGATCCACAGAGTTCCCTCCCTTGAATGTTCAGCAGAGTTTATCAGTTCAAATGGGTGAGGACATGACCCCAAAGCCAGGTGTCATAGACTATATGTATGTGACGCTCTCAAAATTTATATGCAGAAAACCCACCCCCTAATGTGATGGTATTTAGAAGTGGAGCCTTTGAAAAGTGATGAGGTCATGAAGGTAGAGCCCTCGTGAAGGAGATCAGTGCCCTCATAAAAGAGGCCCAGGGCCAGGTATGGTGGCTTACGCCTATCATCCTAGCATCCTGGGAAGCTAAGATGGGTGGATTGCTTAAGGTCAGGAGTTTGAGACCAGCCTGAGCAAGAGTGAGAACCCCATCTCTACTAAAAGTAGAAAAACTAGTTGGGTGTTGGGGTGGGGCACCTGTAGTCCCAGCTACTCAGGAGGCTGAGGCAAGAGGAATGCTGAGCCCAAGATTTTGATGTTGCTGTGAGCTATGATGCCAGGGCACTCAACCCTAGGGCAACAGAGTGAGAGTCTGTCTCAAAAAAAAAAAAAAAAGGCCCAGGGAAGCTCATTTACCCCTTCCCACCATGTAAGCATATGGATAGAGTGTCTTCTGAGGACCCACTTCCTGGTTCATGAACAGTTTCTTCCAGCAGTGTCCTCATAAGGCCGTAGGTGCAAGGCAGCTCTCTGAAGTTTCTTCTTTAAGGGCCCTAATCTCGTTTGTGGGGGTTCCATTCTCATTACCTAACCACCCCCTCAAGGCTCCACCTCCTAATACCATCGCATAGGAAACTGGGTTTCATGAGGATACAAACATTTAGTCCATGTTGATCAGTGAACAGATAAATATGCTGTGGGACAGCCAGACAATAGAATATTTTTCAGTGATAAAAGTAAATAAATAAGCTATCAAGCCATGAAAATACATAAAGGAAAGTTAAATGCATATTATTAATAACAAGTAACAGAAGACAACGAAAAGCCTACTATTGTATGATTCCAATTATATGATGTTCTAAAAGGCAAGACTATGAAGACAGTAAAAAGATCAGTGGCTGCCAGGTGTTAGGGACAAGAAAAAAAGAATAGGTGGAGCGCTAAGGATTTTTTAGGGCAGTGGAACTACTATGTATAACATTATTGTGCTGAATGCACGTCATTATGCATTTGTCAAAACCCATGGAACCTACAAGACTAAGAGTGAGCCCTAATGTAAACTCAAGAGGCTCAGGAGATAATGATGTGTCCATATTAAGTTTATCAGTTGTCATCAAAGTACCACCTTGGTGTGGGTGTTGATAGTGGGAAGGCTGTGCGGACAGGCTATATAGGAACTCTGTACTTCTGTAATTTTTGCTGTGAACTTAAAACTCTAAAAAAAAAACCCTCTTTTTTGCTTTTTTTTTTTTTTTTTTTGAGACAGAGTCTCACATTGTTCCCTTGGTAAAGTGCCGAGGAGTCATAGCTCACAGCAACCTCACACTCTTGAGCTCAAGCAATCCTCCTGCCTCAGCCTCCCCAATAGTTGGGAGTACAGGCGCCGACTACGATGCCTGGCTAATTTTTCCATTTTCAATAGAGACGGGTCTGGCTCTTGCTCAGGCTGGTCTCCTACCCCTGAGTTCCAGATCCTTCCACCTCCGCCTCCCAGAATGCTGGGATTGCAGGTGTGAATGTGTACTGTGTATTGTTTTTGCCACTTTTCTTGGAAAATCTAAAATGTTTCCAGAACAAAAAGTTTAATA